CGAATTCTTCGGCCAATTCACCGAGCGTGCTCGTTGGTCTAACTTATGGCAAATTCGCAAGGAAGTTGAGCTCGCCCATACCCGAAAAGAACAAAAGACATTCCAATCACTAACGAATTCGCTGAAAATTTTGCTCAAATGGAAACTGGCCTTAAAATCCGTCAGAATATCCTGGCTATATTCCATTAACAGAGACTGAAGTCAGCCCCGGTTTGCACCCTGCTATCAAACGCATCAACCTCAAACATATCGTGTACCCAACTGCAGCATCAAGAAAAATAATCACAAGACGACATTAAAAGATATGACAATGCCTAAATAATCATAATTATAAACTATACTTTTGAAAGGTATTCGATGACATTTTCACCATAGATATTCATTCAGTAAATACACCCGCTATACCTCAATGTGTTACGAAAAAAACTTTTTTTCTAAACCTTCAACCAACCAGTATCTATTACCAATATTTGTTTCGCTTAATGAAAGGAACACATTTGTGACGCAACGTCTCTATAGCCAATATCAGGAGAACATTTGCTACAATTCATAGCACAAAAACTTTCTTTATACCATGTTTAACGTCATTTCATGATGTTAGTGGCTCAGTAATGATACAACGTGGTTTCAAGCTAGCCAATTCTTCGACAAAAAGAAGCAATTTAACTACCACTCAAAGGAACACGACTAAGTGTACAAGGAATACAAGCATAAATCGTTAGCCCAAATGTACTTGCGTAGAAGCGATCACATTGTGTCACCTCTCATCATTTTCCCTAGCTTCTTTCGAAGGGACGGATTGAGGTGGCAAGGATTGGGGTTTTTAGCTAATGATTGATGCCACACTCTTCAAGTGACTGGAAATTAATGGAAACGCCAATTTTTGAATTCAGTTTTTAACTTGACGATAAAGAAGCTAAGAAATAAACAAAGCATATTTTTTTGCATCATTTTTTTACTATCGACTACCAAAAATGTTTTTTACCGCATCGAAGCATAAATTTTCTAGGAAAATTAACCATACCATGATAAATGCAAGGATCACAGAGAAATGAAATTTGCTCGATCAGAGAAATAAAGGCAAGGATCACAGAGAAATGAAATCTTGAGATTAGAAGACGTCAGCTTATAACAATTACATCTAGATGCAGAGATCTAGTTTTGACCACTGCCCACTGCTAATCCCTCCAAATTTGATAAGTCAAAATGACGGATGATTTATAACTGATACTAAAAACATTAGTTGTATAAACAGAAAGAATTTTGAATTAATAACCAAATTGTTCCACTTATTTGGGCAATGCTGAAGCTCGGAAGAAAGGATTATCTGAAAATATATTTAAACAGATTATGGCGTATTTCAGCTTGCTATCCCACAATCTAAACTTTATCAAAATCAACATGGGATAAAATTTGATGTGTCCTGTGGTACACTGACAGCACTTATTTAACTGCGGCTGAACATCACCAAACAGTAGTTCACTTCTAACTCACTTACCAATCGTATGTTTGTTTTAATAATTTGTTTAAGAATCAAATGCAGATTAAAGCGCCTGTCTGCCAACTAACAATGTAGATGTATAGAGTATTTAAGAGAAGTAAGGGGTATTTGAGAGAACACCCACATGAGATTATAATGTAAACTTTAGAGGAACTATTATCTAAATAGGAACATTAAAAATTTGTTTCAAAATGGGATAAAGAGCAGTAGTCTTGGTGGTGCGTTCTAAAAATTAAGGATGGTGGGTTGGGTTGTAGGCATTGGTTTGGACGATTCTATGTTGTGTATGTGAAATCATTCTAACTATCCACCCATTCAAAAAGACAGATAGAAAATTGCTTGTTCGCGGGAAAATCTATAGCAAAAAAGAGGGTTTGCAAACACAGAATTTGTTCAACCACACGTGTTCACTTGTTAAGAGAGGCTGAGCTCTCTGAATTTTAAATTTTAACAAGGAGGCTGTGTCTCGCGCGCCGCTGTCTCAGAGGCACCTTTTTGAACGATCTGTTACATAAGATAACTGCTGGATGCAATATAATTTGGTTTTCAGGTAAGAAAAGAAAGTAGACGATAGTCGAAGACATTCACTCGTGAAAAAGAAGATCTGAATACGTCGAATCGTGATTTTCGTGCTACTGGCGGACCTGACGCTGAAAAAATGAAAATAATCATCCACTGACTTTTACAACCATACAATGAACAAGTGAGTTCCATCAGTGGTCAAATGTAAACAATGGCTATCGATATCACATAGATCTACAGCGCCAAAAGAACAATACAGTGGAGCCTCAATATAACAGACACCGTTTGGAAAAGCGTAATTGTTTGTTGTATAGATGTAATTTGTATTAAGGTTCTTTTAAGAGCGTTTTTACCATCTGGGACAAAAAATATCTGCCCGCTGTTGAGAAGTGTCCGTTGTTTTAAAGTGTCCTATTGCAGGTTAATTACAGAGACAGCTTTTTTCTATGACACGATGCTAATGGCACAAGAATCGCTTCAACCGTTACAAAAGCTCTTCTTTCTGCCTTGAATTTTTACATTCGGCCGTTCACCCTTTGATTCCCCTTTTCTTTCCAGTCGCTGCCTCGTATAGAAAAACCTGGCAGCTGGGATTATAAAACATGACTTCAAAAGAAAATGTGCGGTGCAATATATTTGAAAGTTTGGGACCGAGAATAATAATATAAAACTAGAGTACTGTAAAATTTCAAAACCAGCACGAAAAACCAGAACCGTAATAAAGCAGCTTTTTAAATAAAGGAATAAAAGATGAAGAGCCTATTGTGATGAAGCAAGATTCTACTATTTCGTACAAAAGAAAATATTATGAATTTCTACACAGCGAAAAATCTGTTGCAAAGTAAATCCAGATAAATAACATTGGTAATGAACTTAAATGAGATGAAATGAAAATTGAAATGAAATTTAGAACGAAATTCTGAAGAGGATTTCACAAAATTTAGCTTATTTCTAATTTATTAATTCGTTTTTTCAAAAATTAATATATTATTAATGATTTCAAACCTACAAGATTTAGATTTTCCTTCAAAGCATAAATTTCTCGGGTAGAACATTGCGCAATATAATTTGAACTTCACAATTAGGTTTTGCAAACTGTAAATTCAGGAAAATATTAGCAATAGAATTCTCCAGAAAGGAGACAGCTCCCTAGTTAAATATTCTTTGACTAAAGATTAAGCAAACCCTTTGACCTTTTCTTAATCATGCAGAAAATAAACACCCTATCATAAATTCGTAAAAATTATAACCATGATTATAAATAATATCATCAGTAAAAGTCAAAATATGTATGTTGAATGTATCGCACGTTTGCAAAGTTTAAAAAAAATTCAAATAATAAATGAGATTTGAAAAGTTTTTAAAATCCCTACTCCGTAAACAAAAAGCGATCTCAAAATACATAAAAAATGGGCAAGGTCCCGCATCATAAAAAATTAAGCCAGGCTCCCCTGTTGAAAATGTCGGTTGTTTTCTTTGCAATTTCGATAGAACAGGCATACCAAACAAATGTGCTGGTCTACGTTAATTTGGTGTGAGCAAAGTTTCAAGTAGAATAGAAAATGTGTTACAGACGAATATAGAGCTTGAGCAGGCGACAAGCTGTACACTCAGTAATCTACAAATTATATCATAAACGGTGTCGTATATATGTTTTGTGTACCAACAACTATCTAAAAAAGTTCCCTTATCGTGTTTACAAGATAGGTGGTAGCGGTAGTGCTGGATTTTGAAAATTGAATGAAAAAATGCAAGAACTAAACTGAAGTAGCTACAAGAAATTAGACTAATTGGATCTGCACTCATTTTGAAAATATTTTAAGTGGTTCGTTTTACTAAAACATATAATGAAAAAATCGATTACGAAATTGTATTTAGGTAACTAAAAACCTCTATTGAGTACAAAGCACCCTAAATAAAAACACACACTAAACGTTCATAATACATTCTTATAGAAATATGAGCATATCATAGTGTTTTCAACCTAGTTATTTGAACTCAATTTAGGTACAAAGTTCCTAAATCGTCCTATAACACACAGAATTGGCTACAAACACCAGTAAAATCATTATTAAAAAATTGCGACTTTTTTTACCTACTTTCCTATTTCTTGAAAATCCTGTTTCCAGAAGAATAAAAAAATTAAAATAGTAATTGTAACATCATTCAACTAATAATCATTTTCTATCTAGAGAAAAAACTTCTTTCATTCTGCTGCTACTTAAATATTGAAAACTGGATTTACTTCAGTCTGGCTTTTCAACTGATACAGAGTTGGCTGATCTATCCACGTTAGGATTAAAAAATTTTGGCAGGGTAGCGCAGCTGTGATCATAAGAAGAAGCAAAAACCTAGTAATATTACTTTTCATAAGAGGACATTACTGTTTCTATTCGTGCAAAAATGATTTTAGACGTTCTCAATCTGTAGTGAAATTTTTCATTTTACTTTAATTTCAAATCATAATTTTCATCAAATAATTTTCTCATCTCTCATATTGTTAAACATTCCTTCCCCTATCTTGTTGTTTCAAAATAACCACCCCAAAAATAAAGCAGTCATAAGGAATATAAAAAGTAAATAGCAAAATCATTCACCAATAAAAGAATGAAAAGTCTAATTTTAATTAACAGCAAATATTCATTACTTCGATTCTCTTTTCCATCTCTTTATGTTCATGTGGTGTTGCGATCAGATTAAGTGAGATTAAATGCTTCTACTTAGAAGCATAGCAAACAAGACCTATTTCGGGAACATCATATGTGGGTGTGGCCAATGTCATGTGGCTGAATCAGGAAATATGTACTGACAGATTAAAATCAACTGGTTAAGTCAAAATCACATTTTTCATGTAGAAACTTTGAGAGTGTCTGGAAAAACAATGAATTGATCCCACTTTTTTGAGTTGGCTTCTTTTCTTGAAGTAGGATTTCAAAAAATGAATAGAGAAGAGACTTTACTTTTAAAAAACACTCACTTGATCTGTGTAATCAATGAATCAAATTGTTGCCACAGCGAATTGATAGATTGAAACTGGCCTTTTTGCATTTCATATTCTGCAAAGAGAAATGGATGAAAATATTCAATGGCATTCTTATACAATGTGAAAGTCAGCAATACACACAAATATAAGTCTATGTTTCAGGTAGAGAAGATAGATAATCCTCTTTCATGGATAGATGGTTGCAGAGATATACAACCTCAATCAGCAGGCAAAACTTGGCCCAGCAGTAGATTTTTAGTTGCCCTGGGACTTTCATAATTTTAATTTCTAATCATAGGACTGCATGCTGATAGCACTGGAGGAGGTATTCTTTGAAGCTACCAAAACTCATATAAGCATTGTGTACCTTCCAATGCACGAAGGTTAACCATGGTCGGCAAGTAACTGAAACAAATTCATTACTATGCATAGATGTAGAGCTGGGGGCTGGACCCATTTTTGAATAATGCAAATAGAGCTCTTTAACTTTTTGACATTGTTTTTGAGATCTTTTTGCAATGGCCCCTCTTGTTATCTGGCAACACAGCAACTTTGCTAACAAGAAAACCTAAATAATGGACTTATACATGTCTACATATCTACAAACATAAGTAATGGACTTCACAAATCTGAAGCTAATTTTTCCTTCTCTATATAAAAAGTTAAAAAACAGCAGTTGGCATTAAGTAGCAGCTGTAGACATAAAATCTTTTCACACTGCCACAGACAATCCACCTAAACCTAGTTTGCCAAGTTTTGAAACCTTGTTTATCTAGCTCCAAAGCAAAAAAGGTTGCATGTCCACATTCATATTTAAATAATAAGGTCCTGCAAGAATCATCTACATTCACAGAGTAAGCTTAAGCCAATAGCATTGCTATACAACGTAATAATAATAAAGTTCAAGAGTATGAGTCCTTTGATGTTATTTGATCATAATGCTGATACTCCAAGCAATCTATCAGGAAGACCTTTCTAGCAAAATGCAGGGCAGCATTGGAACAGGGTGTAAATTTGGCTTGAAATAGTCATTTTTGATCAAAGATGAAAAACAAATACAAGTAAAGGAATTTTTGACATAAATTTGGGACCTCTCCATGTAAACGCATACAGATACATGTATGCACAGGAAATCCTTATTAAGATGCCTTTCACATAAACATTTCCTTGTTTGCAAAATAATTATCTTTATTTATACCACAACTGATCTTTAGACATGCATAATCAGTCACGCATTGGTCAAACAGCTTTGAATAATGAAAATGCCTTGTTTCATACTGATAAGGACACTGATGAAAAATTCAGTTGATGGTTTCATGCAAGATCTTAGGCTAAATAAATTTCTTATCTGACATACCAGCTTTTTTCAAGGCACAGTATTCTAGGATGATATTCTGCAATTTTGGCATCAGGAACTCCTGAATGTCAAAGACACAATTTTAAGTAAAATATATTATCTAGATTTAATTTAAAAAAAACTGCTCAAAAAATAAAAATTATTTGAAACGAAATTTTATTAAATGAGACTGAGAATGAAATTTTATTAAATGAGATGAACTAAAAGTATTACTAAGATTGAATTTTTGTAAATTAAAAAAGGATTTAAATGATAGAATTAAGGAACAAAACATCCAAAAGCTTGTTTCAAGGTAATAATTATTAGAAACGATGAAGATACAGCTGAGCTTTAGTGTTAACTAAGAACAGAAACAAATGCACTTTTACTGTTCTGAATAAGAAGATTATCAAGACAATATATTGCACATATCATACAATTTCAAATGTCTGATCAATATTCTATATTCTTTTCAAATAAGTCCAACCTGTCCATTTTCTGGAGTAGACATGTCAACTTTTTTGAAGTATTTGCATTCATGCTCAAACTCTCTTGCAGCTCTGTTGAATTGGTTGTCTTTTAAGTAGCCTAGAGAAAAAAACAAAAAAGACATCGATACATAAGTTATTGACAGAAATGAAGCAGCTCTGTTGAATACATACCAAAAAAATCATCCTTTGTTTCAACAGATCTGAAGTTACAAACAAATAAATCAAACCTATCTGCTATTGAACCATTTTAATCAAAATACCAAAATATACAAAACCTTTCTGTGCTATATGAAGATTATTTTGTTGTAGTGTATATTGTAATTTGAATGCAGTTAGTAATAAATGAAACAGCAAAACAGGCAGCTAGGTCACTTTGCTTAGGACACCAAAGGTTTCCAAGTAAAGTGTTTGTGAACCTTAAAAAGGAGGATCTTTTGAAGGCTTAAATTCTAGTTTTGAAAGTGCATTTTATCAACCAATCTATAAATAAAACTAAGTGACCCTAAAAATTGGCTTGGAAAACTTGTAATATCACTACTGTTGGTGTTACAGCTTTTCTGTGTGATTAGTAAGTTTTGTCTTTCAATTGTTGAAGCCCCCACAAATAAAAAGATCTATAATTTTGATCATAACATGAATTCATAACAGAAATGTATATACTGAATAATTCAGCTGGAAATTTGCATGTTTTCAATCCAAAATAACTTCTTGTAATGGTAACTGAGGCGCGCTGTTTTATTTTTAAAGTGGTTTACACAACCAGCACAAATAATAGCTTTGTGTGCATTGTTTAACAGCATTTTTTAACATGCATATTGTATCATATGATTCTCTAAATGGCAAATGCTGTAAATTTATAGATGAATCCCAGGGCAAAATGCCAAATTTCTGATGAAAAAGTAATCTTTACAACATGCTATATTGCTACTTTTTGAGAAGATAGTTTTTGATTTTTCTCTAACCTAGGCCAGTGCCAATTAAGCACCTCAAAAAGAGAGGCCTGAAACACTGGCATATAAGAACCTAGTGTAGGCCTGGTCATAGGATTTTTAGCAGGAGAGCAGTAAACAACTCTCCTAAGTAACTTCCAGGTGAGCTATAAATAAGAGTAGAAGGAAGGGAAAAATTGATTTCAAGGAGAAGCTCCCCTTTAGCATTTGAGAAGAGCTTAGAGGGGAGCAAGAGCTTTGGTTCTCCTTACATATGTAGTGAGTTAAGAACCTACCGGCTGAAATTCTGAAATAAGACCTCCATTTTATAAGAACCTATCCAGGCTCAAATGTCAAATAGGTTATTTGTAGAGATCACCAACTGACATTAAAACTCAAGTTGCTATATTATAGATGCTTTAAAATACCTATATAAATACAGTATTCACGACTATGTTTAGCATTTCAATATTTTTCTGTTCCCAAGGTAAAGTGCTGTATGTTCACTTGCATTCAAACTTTTGGTAGACCCCATTTTGTTTAACTTTCTCAACATCTTCTGTAGGTAGCAGGATGTTTGAATAATAAGTTTGAAATCCACTGGAACAAGACTTTTGGCCCAAATTAACACATCCAAATGCCTGAAGTTTGAAATGAAACAAAGGAATTTATGAAAGCCCTGCATCAAATAAGAACCAATTTAAGAATCTAAACAGCCTCATCTTCTATTTAATAACCAATTATAGGAACCTAGTCAGTCTGACTTGCAAAATTGTAGGCCCTTTTACACAGGGTTTTACTATATTTATAACCTGTTTTTGATACCTTTTTTCAGCTAATAAGTGCTAGACATACTTTTAGGCGTTATTTTACCACCAATGCCAGTTTAATGTCAGTGGAGAGCATACCTATCTTGAAATATTTTAAAAGTCCCTATCAAAATAAAATCCCTTCTTTTGCAATTCATTTTTAGGCAAAAAATACATACGATGAATGAGGATATTGATGCTTATTTCCATGTCCAAAATGTACGTCTTTTGGTATAAATATCCTCCTGGATTTTCTGTATAATAATGGACACCCTAGTCAGAGCATCGGGACAGAATTGTTCTTCATCTGGTTTGGCGTCTGCTATTTGAGCCCAAACACATTTCCAGTCTGTCTTAGCTACCAGATTGATAGGCTGACGAGATTCCGCTGCTTTTCGATGATAACAATATCTAGATCATGTGTCTTCTCGACATTATTTCACATATATTGCGATTCCAAAGTTTTGTTTACAAGCCTGCAAATTTGCGCCAAAAAAATTAGGCCCATTGTTCTTCTCGTGGGAAAGAGGCTATTTCTGTGGCCACCAGATTTTTTTGAGTTCAGATCTTTTCCCTTCTTATGGCGCTCGTCTACCTTTTAATGTCTTTCAAAAAGACACGAATAATTCAGTTCCAAAATCAGGAATAAGCAGTCAGATAGCATACACGTATAGGAAAAGTATCTCACTTCATGATCCCATAGGGGTATGACACATAGGGGCATTTAGGAGGGGGGGGGGGGTTGGTTGGCTGACTTATAATATTTGACCCATGAAAAATCAAAATGATTTGTAAAATCTGCCAAAGAAATTTGCAATTGGCTTAATCAGAATAAGGCTTGAATCCCTAAAATATCGTGTGAAAGAAACTACTGTATCAGATCCTTTTACGATAGTTTTAACGTGAGCCCTCCACATTGAACGATGATTGAACGGTATATGCACAACGGGGCCTGCCTTCTGAACCTCGATGAACTGCAAAGCTCCTAGACCTTCTCAAAATAGTTAAAATTAAAATAATTGACAACTGCTCGCTATATCGAGGCAAATTAGGTATTGCTACCAACAAGAGTTTCTATATTTTTATATCAAGCGTCGGAAGTTTTCTACAAACGCGAGGACAAGCATAATTTTTTAAACCAATGGTCCGCATTCTTGTCACCCACAACTTACAGGAATGTTAAATGAACGAAATATTCAAAAAAGAGCTTTCTTGTGAAGAGCTATGCATTTGCATCGTTTTTACTTGCGTTAAATTTTGATTTAACAAAAGCAAAAAACTTCTAGATTTATGTAGTGATGTTTGTTCAAAAATAAAAGATTTTACGTTGTTCGTCATTCATTGCTTAGCTATATGAAGAATGAGGGATTGTATGGCAAAGCCATACTTTTATTATCAGAGAAGAAAAGAACTAGCCAATCTCTTCAACTGAAAATAACAATATAATAAAGAAAAGTTTACATAACATCCTCTAAGAAGCCTGCTTTCCATTTCTCAGGCAGACCGCTTCGGCTTGGGAGAGATTTCATCAAGCCGGAAAGTATCATGGAATCAAAAGAGAGTGAAAACAAAAGAATTAAGTCTGATTCTGTATATTAACAGAATTAATATTGATATTCAATAAAACTTTGCGGTAAAACTCCAGCAATATGTACTACGAACCATAATGTCTTTGGTCTGCTTTTGTTTTCTGCACAAAGCAATCCTTAGTGGCTGAAAGCAGTAAAATAACCTCAAATTCCTCTTCAATAGATTTCTTTACCAGGGGGATTTTATGAAGTTTATTGTTAATAAAACCCGCACTTCAATCCTGCGGCGTTTTAAGTTCTACAGTGAAGTTTTCTTGTAGATGGTAAATTAAGCAAATAAATTGATTTGGAATGATTAAAACCACACAGAGTCTAAACATTTTACTAAGTTACCAGCATCATGTGGCATTCTGCATTGAAGAATGACTTCATTACCTTTACTTCTAGTATGAGATAGGAGTCAGGAAAAAGTTTTTACATTGGAAACAGGCTTCCAAGCCAGAATCATTTTTGGCATGTTTAAGTTATTTCAAATCATGCCAGCAATCTTAAAAAGATTCAGAGAAAATTGGTTAATAATTGCTCTGGTTGTCTTACGTTTGTTTCCAAAAACAGCCTTCAAAAGCCATTTTCTATCTTTTCTACTTTCACTATCATGATATCAATCATCAACAATATCATTTGCTCAATTTTGCTTTTCTAATTGATTAATTACCCAATTTAAGATAATTGCTCATTTTTTTCTTAACCTGTCCAAAATGATAACTAAATTTATGGTGGTGTTCCACAGGGATTATTTCCAGTCCAATTTCTTTGATTTCTCATGGAGTGATGTAACTATGAATCGTAGAATAAATGTCAATCTGAATCCCTTAACAATCAATACTTTTAGCAGCAAATGACTGAAACCTTTATCTTCATACCATTGAGCAATTAGCTAAAATTATATTTTTAACTTAGCAGAATCATTGCTCGACAAGCGCAGGATTATCCGAATTTTTCATAAGTTGAAAGAATAAGACTAGAAAGAAATTGCTACAAACATTCTAGATCTTGTCTGAAATTACAGTTGTTAAGCACGTAAAAGCAGTATGCATCTATTCATCAGTTTCGAATGAAATAGTTTATATGTGTTTCAAATTAAGAGTTTTGGGGCCCTGGGCACAGATCATCAAGGGGCCCCTATAAGGCTGTGATAATGGCTGCAGATGGGCCTGAACTAACAATTATTTCTCAAAAAATTAACTTTTATCGTGTGTTATAAAAACCTTCCAGAGAAAACATAACGATGCCAGAAACTTAGGGGCCCCTCTAAAGCCAGGGGCCCTGGTCACTGTTCCCAGTGTGCCCTGTGGTTACTGCGACACAATAGAACCGCACATTTGCGTTATCGTGAGAAAGTATAAACGTTTGCTGCTATCCATTAGTTGCTAGGAGTATTGGCCGCTAACCGAGGTTTACGTAAAGCAAATTAATGCCCCAGTGATTCCCATATTCTGTCTCCATGCTACTCACAAGCAGCCCACATGTTGCCTTCACTAGATCCGTGGCTCCGGCGCCCAAGACGCTTCCACACCTGTTCATCATTCAAATCACTCACTACCAGAGAAACCTGAAATTAGTAAAAAAGAAACAGAGTATCAACCAACATTTTGACCGAATTGCTTTTGTAAACAGAGTGAACTGAATCAAGATATACAGCACTTTTATCTCTTTTTCTCGCTAGAAACATTCCTCTAAAAATTAGTGGCGATTTTTTGCTTTAAAGACTATGCTTCCTTAAACGAAATGGTCTTAAATCTATTTGTAAATTTCGTATTCAAGCACCTATAGCAATTTTATCTGTTATAAGAATATGAAAAAGTCAAGATTAATGCAATGTGTATTACCAATATGAAATAGGCATTGATTCGCATTTTCTGTGGTAAGGAAACATTTTCTTCGGAAACTTAATTTTAGTGATAAAATCTAAGTGACTAATAAGGATATTATAAATATCGATGTTGAATATGGCGGATGTAGAACGTGCTTGAAATTAACAGGCAATTGTTGTCAATTATAATCAATTACTGAAGGAAGTTTCTTTTAGCTACATTTGGATGGTGCAGGTGGTTAGGCTTCCAAGGTGCAAACATCAGGTGCTTGCTGCTCACACAAAACACTAGCAAATGGTCACATACAGACACTTTGTCAAAATAACGTATGCAGCATAATTGCGTCATTAGCTTAAGACACTTCGGCACTTGACAGAGTGAAACCTGATCGAAAGCCAAATGCAAGCTGCATTGCCAGAGTCAGGAAAACATTACTGTCGCAAGGCTGCTGATCGGAGCCCGGAGGAAGGTCCACGAAAAATGATAGAAGCTCCCACGACACACCCAAGCCACGCCCACGTTCTATTGTTTTGTGAGGAAGGTTTGCCTTCTGAAATGTTTTTGTCTGGAGTAAGGTTAACGACTTCTCTGGACTCTGTGCATTGCAGAGGACGTGGTTCCTTTCATCTCTGCAAAAGAACATTTAACAGCCTTTTTTAACTTCTGGCGTTAGCTCGTACTTTGTTAAATTGCACCTTGGGTTAGGAGGGTCTGGCAAGACCCCGCTTTACAGGAACACCAAGGGAGTCACTCTTCTATTTCGTGCAGAGTATGGTTCGTGGCATTAAATGCCAATTGAATTTCAAGGTTGTGTAAAGATTTTCTTGGTGTTGCATGAAGAAAACTTTATCGTGTAATATAAATAAACTTTTATACTTGTAAAGAAGAGGTGAAGGGTTGAAACTAGAAGGTATTTAGGCAAATGAATTCAAGCTTCCTGGGAGTTTCACAAAGTTTAAGAACCTCGTCTTTGGTACTTACATAAACCATTACTTCTGATTACTGCAAACACATAGCTGAATTATCTAAATATAGTGCCAATTACTTTGCTCAACAGGTTCCTGACTCCACTGAGCTCGTAAAGACATGGTTCAGTAACAACCCTGTATTGATTTCGAATTATTTTTGTTTTATTCAAATGGTCTAATATCAAGCAAAAAATATAATTGTAAAACATAACTTTTGAGAAAAACGATGATGACTGATATAAATAATAGCAAAGTTTGTTTTTAAGCAAAAAAAACAACCAAAAACAAAGAAAAATAGCCACTGTGAATGAATATTGACACGTGGTATTTATGAATCTCATTTTCCAAACATCTAAATAAAAGTCCCAAATGATTAAATGAATATCCTCCATTGAATATTGAATATTACTTTTAGCCTGAATTTTGCAATTGCATAGCTATTATGCTATAAAACGTTGCTGAGCTCCATTTTACCCTTCTCGTTCTTGCATTTATCTTAAGAATCAAATTTCGCATCCAAATTTAAGATATACGCTTTCTTAATTCAGTTATTCTACGCAGCAGATGGTGCAGTGCCAAACTGGGCACATATTCAATTACAACTTTATAGACGACAAAGAACATCCCCAATGAGCAGTCAAGTTTCGTGTCTTGCCCTAATACCTTTCACAGAAAGTCTTCAGAGCTCTTTACTTAATAAAAGCCTCACGACATGACCCTTTGTATGCATCTATTCGTTTATATAGAGCCAATTCATCAGACATAGAGGAATCGAAAGACGGAACTGATTAAATGAAATATGCTGGTGATTCTTCACAAAGGATAAACTGTGTCTTACTAAGCAACCGAAAATGAATATGTGTGTATTAGGTTACCGTAACTAACGCAACAAAACTTTATACAGGGCGTTATTTTATTTCTTAGTTTCGTATCATAGGTTATTTTCTGGTCTAGAAACAAAAGAGAATCCTCGCGCAGAAACTGGAAGGGCGCTGATGCAACTGCGCATGTATTGTTCTTTGTATACCCTCCTTGTTGGGTTGCGTTTCCGGGCAAACTTCAAGGAAGGAAAAATGGTTATAACGTACTGGCGTACCTTGACCCTCCAGAGAAAATGGATTGGGGGGAGGGGGGAGGAAGGGGGGCTTGTTGAGAAAAATCTGCCAACCTAGA